AGGGTTAGGATGTGTACCCACCCTGCTCTCTGACACAGGCTCAGGGGCTCCCTCTTTAACCCCATGTCTATTTTAGTGAAATGCTCCCACATCTGTGTTTGCGCTTCCTACCATTTTCTGCCTTGCTTTTCCTAATCATTTTCTTCTTTCTCCCTGCATTCTCTCTCTCTCTCACTGAAGTCTGGGATGGCGGGGGGAGGAGGAGAGTGGGTAAGTTGGCAGAGAGATAAGATTCATCAATATTTAATTTTTATGGAAATCATGTCCTAGAAATCCTCAAGGGGCTAAAAATTGTTCTGTTTTCAGAATCCAGTGATGTCGCTGAAGCGGTTATGTTGTAAATAAAACCACATTACTGTCTGCAGCTCTCCCGTTGCTCTGCAAACACCCAGAAACTTGACAGTTTAATCCACTCAAGGAAGCAAAAAGGTTCAGGTCACTGGTGAGAGGCAGCCTGTCCCCAGCCTTGGGATGTAGGACCATGAGGCTTCGACATCAGCAGCCCGGGAAGGAGACAGAGCTAGCTGCCCTTAGTAGAGCTACCATGGTGGTGAAATCCTCTCTAAATAAGAATCCCAGGAGAGCCCAGGCCCCCGGGTTCCCTGCTGTTGGGGAGGGGGGTGGTTGGCTGCGAGGCAGCAGCTTTCTTCTCCTCCCTCGTGCACAGGGCAAAAATGACCATAAGGCTTGTGCCCAAATCTGTTGCCAATAACTCTGGGGAGAGTTAGGATCTGTAAAGAATTCATTCATTCATTCATTCGTTCATTCGTTTGCTCATTGGGTTGTCCATCAAACACTCATTAAGTATCCACAGCATCCTAGAGAATGCAGTAAAGCTCACCAGACACGCAAAGATCCCGGCTCAAGTTCTCGGGGATGGAGCCAAGCAATAAACAGGTCAGTAAGTAAAACAGATTGTATGTTGAATGCTGACAAGTTCTGTGGAGAAAAATGAAGCAGGAACCTTAGGTATTAACCCATGAGAAATGAAAATATTCATCGACTCAAAGTCTTGTACATGAACATTCACAGCAACTTTTTTCATAATAGGCAAAAACCAGAAACAGCCCATGTGTCCATCAAGTGCATAAATTAACAAATTGGTGTGTTCACACACAGAATAATAGCGATAAAAAGAACAATGTACTAACAGATAAAACTACATGGGTGGATTTAACAAATGTGTTTCTGAATGAAAGAAGGCAGACACACAAAAATAGACATTGGATGACTCTATTTATAGGACATTTGAGAATAGACTAAATGAGTCTGTGGTGGTAGAAATCAGGATAGCAGTTGCTTTGAGGGAGGCAGGGCTGACTGGGGAGGGACGGAGGAACCTGGGGCGAGGAACATGCTGTGTGTCTTCATTCATCAAGACTGGCTGGCTGGTACACTGAGGGTCAGAGCCTTGCATCGCTGCTATACCTCTGAAACAAAATCAGAAAGGACAGCCAGGGGACAGGGTATATCCGGGGTGTTGGGAAGAGTGTTGCAGCTAGAAACGGGGAAGCCGGAAGAGGCTCACAGAGAAGGGAAGGTGAAGAAAGTGAGGGGGAAAGCCATGAGGGTGTCTGGGCTCACAGCATTCTAGGCAGTGAGGACAGCAAGTGCAAGGGCCTGAGATTGGCATGTGACTGCGATGGCCCAGGGCCTGATGGGAAGCTAGTGTGTGAGTTTACCAGGGCTGCTGTCACAAAGTACTGCAGACCAGTGGGTGGCTTACACAACAGCACTGTATTTTCTTACAGTTCCGGAGGCCAGAAGTCTGAGATCAAGGTGTCAATAGGGTTGGTTTCTTCTGTCCTGGGCTTGCAGATGGCGCCTTGTCCCCGTGTCTTCATGTGGTGGCCCCTTGGCCCGGATGCATTGGTGTTCTAATCTCTTCTTCTAATAACCACACCGGTCGGATTGGATGGGGGCCCGCCCCAATGGCCCCGTTTAAGCTTAATGACCTCTTTAAAGACCATATCTCCAAATGAATTCACTTCTGAGGTCTGGGGGTTAGGATTTCAACGTATGAAATTTAGGGAATGTGATTCAGCCCATAACAACTGGTGACACAGTCGGGTGGCCAAGCGCTCACCCCATGGCTGCCCTAGGTTCCCCGGCTGCTTGTTCCCATGTGCTGCGATGAACCTGTTGGTCTGGGAGGAGGCGGCACGAGGACTTTGTGGGAGAGGGTGGGTGGTGATCAGAGAGGCCAGAGGCCACAATTCCTGTGATGGCTTCTCAGGGACTCATGTCAGCAGAACTTCCAGAAAGCCAGTGGTGTTCTGATTGAGGGTCAGAACTCACACACTTCACTTTCTATGCAGAAATGGCCTGGGGGCCCCGGGTAGCTGGAGTCTAGCTGGGCATGCAGACAGGGTTTGTCAGCCTTTGTCCATTCACTGCCAAGTCCGGTCACCTCGGCTCTGCACTGTGACAGCGGCCCATGCTGCCCATGCTGGACTGTCCCTGCAGCTGACATTGAGGGCAGCTGTGGTTGGGGGTGTGGCTGGTCCCCAAGTTAAGGGCTCATTGTGGCAACTGAGTCTTCAAAGCAATTCATTTCTTCGCGTGCCTGATCAAGACTAAAAGACCACAAGAGCTAAGTGGGGGAGGAGCTTCTGACCTTTGCTTGGTCCTGAGCTTAGCGGCCTTGGAAGGGCAGCCAAAGTGAGGAGCCTTAGGAAACAAACTCTTGGTACTCTGAGTGTCAGGTGAACGGACAGCACAGTGAAAGGCCTTCAGTGAGAAAAATAAGGGAGCACCTACTATGTAGTAGGCACTGGGTGGGGTCTTTCTCATGCATTATCCTCCCTCCATTCCCCAGCACTCTGTGAGGGGAATATGATTACCCCCATGTTATAGATGAAGAAGTTGAGGCTCAGAAGGGACAGCTACCCTGTCCAAGGTCACACAGATCCCGAATTATGACATGGGAACTTGAGTCCAGGTCTTTTGATTATAAGCCCAATGCTTTCTCTACTACACAGTGCTCCCTCCCTCTGACACTGAAGTCCACGATACCCAGAGCAACTGCCGCCCCACCCCCATTCCAGGTTCAAGCTTCCCCCAGGAAAGGCTTGGGGATAACCTGCTAGTCTATCCAGGGGGGGCCAGGGGAAGCTAGCGAGAGGGCCAAAGAGAAACAATATACTCCATTCTCACAGGCAAGCCGATTTCATGGAGTGTGTCCATCTTACAGATGGGAAAATGAAGGTTTCAAAGTGGAGGTGACTTGCTTATGGTTGCCTAGAATGTTTAAGAGTTTTTCCTCTTAAAAAGGGAGCTGGGAGCTTGAGAAGCAGCCAGTACAGCAGGATATTGTGTGTGTGGGGTGGGGAGGGGTAAGTGTGTATAAGTGAGAATAGTGAGTCTGCCCTCCCCCCACCCTGTCCCTACTGGACAGCTCCATTCTGAAAGACAGACCTGGGCGTGGGCTCTGGTCAAAGCCGAGGCAGAGGCGAAGCTTCTCCTCAGCCTTGACAAAGGAGGAGGCGGGCAGGGAGAGGCTCTCACTGGGGAGAGAACTCAGCCTGTGTCTAGAACAGCAGCCCTGCATGGGGGGCAGGGGTCAGCAGCACCCGGGAACACCTCCTCCCCTCCTGCCCCCTAAAGTGTGTCCCCTCCCCCAGGCTCTGCCTCGCCCTCCCTTGGCTGGTGACTCCACCTCAGTTGTCTTCTCTGCGATCCTCCGCGTTGCCAGGCTCTGCTCAGAAACCGCTATTGATTCGCTTTTATTTATTTATTTATGAGATTTCGCTGTGGGCAAAAAATAAAGAGGTTTTTGCCGAGCTTCCCTTGGCAGTGAGAAGGCTCCTCCACCCACAGCCTCCCTCCTGCGCGCACGCTCTTGACTCCTCTCTGCACACTCCAGCAGGCTCACGTTTCCTGTGTTCAAGATGCAGAAATGAGATGCGGCTGTGTGGCCTACCTAGTGCCCGGTGCGCAGTAGCTGCTCAAAAGATAGCTGTGGGAGAGGTGGGTGGGGGATTTTTGAGTGAGCTGTGACTGCTGCCGAGGGTGAGGAGGCGGACGATGAGCCGCGCCCGTGTGGGAACACGGAGCGTGCGCCGGCCCAGTGCTGGCGTTAGGACCCTTCTCATCTCGTCCTCATAATAAACCTGCAAGGCAGATTTGATTACTTTTGTTCAGTGGGGAAGTTCGGAGAGGTTCAGCACCTTGCCCAAGGTTACCCAGCTCGGGAACCCAAATTCACACCCAGGCCTTCCAGAAGCCAGCACCTCAGCTCTGTTCATAGTATAGTGCATCCTCCTCAGGGGGACAAGAAACCATGAGACGCCAGGAGCGGGCTTGGCCCAACACTGGCAGGGTCCCTTCATCCTCAGGAAGCCCCCACTGGTCTCAGTATCTTGGTGAATTGAGTCAACTCTCCCTTACCCTTCCTGTCCTGGAGAGATGGGTGTGTGGGAATCTGGCCTTGGCCCTGAACCCCACCCTGCAGTGGAGCTGGGTGTAAGGGTTGGGTAGGGCCTTTCTCCAGGGAGAGCTAGCGGGAATTCAGAAGTCATTTGGGGCTCTCAGTCTGTTGGTTAAACGTGTGACACGCTGAGCCCTAACTGCCCGTGTGGGCTTACCCATCCCATTCTGAGTCACACACACATGTTCTTGCATGGATCCCACTGTCTGAGTGCCTGCTCCCACCCCGGCCCTCCTGACGTCCTCCCAGCCATCTCGAAAGTCCGGTCCCAAGCCCTGCTCCCTGCCTCCCACCCTTGGCTCACCCCTCCGTGTGAGCACCACTGTCACCGCGCTGTGACTGTTGACCGTCACTGGCCAGCTGGGAGCTACTGGAGGGCAGAAGTCACACCTCATTGAGTTGGTCTCCCTGGGGTTGGGCACAGAGCCTGGTGCTGGAAGGACGGACGGACATCCCTGCTGATCCCCTGTAGCTGGCAGTACATCCACGTGTTCATCCCTGCACCTGAGCTGAGGGAGGTGTGGCCCTTACATTCACCAGAGATGCTTCTCTTTCACTCCTTGTCTGGCAGGAGTTCCCCTTGGCCATCCTCAGAGGCTGGGAGTGCTACTGTGCTTACCCCACCCCCCAGTTTAACCTGCGGGATGCAGTGGACAGCTCACTGTGTGTCCAGGACCCTGAGGCACAGAGGCTGGCGGAGTACTGTGAGGTCTACCAGACCCCCGTGCAAGGTGAGCCCTCCCCTTTAGGTGTAAGAGGCATAAAGGGCTATCCCCACATGCCTGCCTCTGTTTGTGGCATTTGGTCTTGGGGTTTGGGAATGCTGCCCATGGCTGAGTGGGCTGTGACTGTTGACCGTCACTGGCTAGCTGGGAGCTTCCATGGCATCCAACGCCACCACCTTGCCCTGGGGAAGGAAGGGCGTCTGTGTAACAACCCTAGCATCTTCATGGGTGGTCTTGTCTTGGGATAATGAGATGGAGGAGGCTTCTGCCATCCCTGGAGGGTAGACACAGGATGCAGGGCTAAGTGTGAAGAGCACCTGACCTTTATCTGAATTTCTCTGGGATAAAGGTGTTTTGAGGAAGAAAGGAAGAGCAGAGAGGCAGGGGCCAGAAGGATAGCAATGGCAAGGTGGTGGCGTTGGGTGCCATGGAAGCTCAGTGGCCACAGGGGCCTCAGAGGCTTCCCTGAGCCAGCACAGGACCTGGAGACCCATATGGCTCCTGCACTGTGATGTGCATGTGTCCACTCTGCCCCAGCTGACCTTTGAGCTGATGGAGGGACAACAGACAGGGAGGAATGTTACCACCTTTATGGAGCACCTACTATGACCCAGCACAGCACCGGGCTTTGGGCTTTGACTTGATCATTTCATGCAGCCTGGAGGTGGGGGTGGGGGCAGGAGGAAGAGCAGGTTCAAATTTCATTTGCCTGAAATTAGTCCAACTGGTTCCTTGTTGGCTGTACTTGGATGTGTGGCATTGGTCAGCCCAGCCATGACCCTAGCCACCTCTCCTGGAGTTATCTCTGCTGAGCGGGCAGCCATGACATTGGCCATGGAGACAAGCAGGGGCTGGGGGTCCACAGTGTGCCCATTTGCACCACACTCTTGCGTGGGCCTTGGAGGCCTCGTTGTCATTGGGGCTTTCCTCAGGCAGCCACAGAGCCGTGCAGCCCACGTGCAGGTGGTGAACCCTGCCCCTTTCTGGGCCTCAGTTCACGCTTCCATTAAGTGGGAGTCTTGGGTCAGCAGTTTCTGTCTAGGGGAGTCCAGCGGCGAGTCTGGGGGTGAGTAATCCTGAGATGGCTTCTGGCTTTCAGACACTCGGTGCACAGACAGAAGGTTTCTGCCCACCAAATCCAAAGTGTTTGTGGCTTTGTCGAGCTTCCCGGGAGCTGGGAATACCTGGGCACGGCACCTCATCGAGCATGCCACCGGCTTCTACACGGGGAGCTATTACTTCGATGGGACTCTCTACAACAAAGGTGAGCGAAAGCTGTCGGGGAGCGGGAAAGGCAGCTCCCGTGCCAGACGGCCCCCGGGAGTGCTGGCTTGGTGCTCCTCACACCGCAGCATGTGCTGGAGCCTCCGGAGGGCTCGCTCCCTTCAGCAGGTTCCTGGACCGAGCGCTCAGAGAGTCTGGTTCAGTCGATCTGATGTGGGGCCCAGGAACTGCCATTTGTGACCAGCTCCCGGGTGGTGATGCGGCCAGGCCTCCTAGGACCACACTCTGAGTGAAAATTCACGCGATCTAGTCTGGGTTCAGAGTAGCCCGGATTCGCTCTCTAGAAACGTTTCTTGTATTGCCCTTCCTTTTCAGAACCCTCAATAATTAGGTGAGACTGTATTTGCTGCCTCCTGTTGGGTGGGGGGAGGCAAGGGGTAGCTTATCAAAGTGCTGTTTTTAAAAAGTAGGCCCCAAAATCTTCACCAGTGTTATGATTCCTAAACTTGTAGAAATAGGAGGCCTTATCAGGCCAAGTAAATTAACGTAAATGGCTGGAGTCTGTGGGCTGCTGAAGGACTAAGAACCTCAGATAAGTCAAGTGGCACTTAAATTTGGTGGAATATATTTCTCTGTTGCCAAGTGTTACAACAGCTGGGTTTCTTGGAAGGCAGCTCCGCTCACCACGATACCACCAAGGCCAGCAGCAGCTGGGTTTCTTAACTAGAGCTCAGTTTAGGGAACGGATACTATCAGCAACATCCTAGAGAGAACGAAACTTCCTGAATGGCAGTGGGTTCAGGAGTCACCCACAGCAACCTGGGTCTGGTTGGGAAAAAGCCAAGAATGTCCATCAAACCCGGCCCCATTGTCCTTGGGACACCTGCAGGTGCAATGGCCAGGTGGAGCACGTGGTCCCACCCACTCTGGCCTGGTCCCCTGGGAAGCACCCACTGTGCACAGGCTGGAGACACCCACCTTGTTCTTCTAGAAAGCCTTTACCTTTCCCACATAGCTGGTTACTTCGGTCCCCAAGCAGCCCACTGGTCCACACGGCCGCATGTAAGGGCTGGGTGACACAACCGCACGTCCCTGAGCCTTACAGGACCAGCCAGAGGTAGCCGCTGGCCTTGGAGCACTTACAGAGCAATCACACATGAAGGTGCGAAATTCCCAAGGCAGCTCCAGGGCCAAAATGCCACACCTGTCCTGGGCGAACGCCGCTGGATTACACGGCAAAGGGGCCTCTGCCGAAACAGGCTGAGGCAGTCAGTAGGTAAACCACCCTGCGTCTCAGTGTCCGAGACCAGATCTCACGTCCACTCAGCCCATGGCTGGACTCCGCTTTCCTGGAAACTCCCAGCCTTTTGACAGAATGAGTCAAAGCCTTTTGGAGTTTGGCCCCTGGCAGAGACGTGTTTGGAACGTGTTGCATTTCAGTAGGTGAACCCGGACTTCCAGATTCAAAAGAGGCTTGTGAGTTTCCAGGCGCTTGTAGACACAAATGCTTCCCAGCCATTCATGAACGAGGTAGAGGCTTATTTATGTTTCTAAGAGCTCAAGAGAAGCTCATGCACATTTATGGAGTACGCCCCAGAGCTGGCTGGCGGAGATGCGCTGGGATACGGTCAGCAGACAAGTTTCAGGGGACATCTTTCCTGGAAACCTTCGGTGTCATCCCACTACACCCTCTAATTAGTGCCCCCTCATCTTTGTTCCCATAAGCCCCTGTGCTCTCTAGTATACTTGGGCTATTTCCCTGCTAGATTCTAAGCATAAAGGCAGGGTCTGAGTCTCGACCCCTGACATAAAGTCCAACACAGAATGAGCACACAATAACCGTTATTGATAAATATGTGACTGTGTTTATGGACGGGCAGAGCCTGACCTTCTCAGCCAGGAGTCACTCAGGCTCGGGCACCCAGTGCTGGTTCAGGGAACCCAGGAAGAAGGCAGGCCCCCAGCCCAGAGGGATTTTTCCATGGGAGCAGGGCTCTGTTCACAGAAACCAGGCCCTGAGTTCTGCAGGGCAGGGCTCAAACATCGTGGATGAGACCTTGGCCTGACCTGCTTTAGGGGAGGGGCATCCAGGTAGAGAACCTTCATAGATGCAAGGTTGGGGCCCTGTTACGGTCAGAGGGAGGGACAATAGCTGCTTACAGCCTTTGTGCGTAATGATGGGGAGCCTGCTCCTCCTGTGGGAGGTGGGTGGAATCTGGGAGCCTCTTGGGGATACACACAGCCATGTAGAGAGAGCCCTGGCTTTATTGCCATAGTGTTTGTGTGATCTTGGGCAAGTTACACACCCACTCTGAACCTCAGTCTCTTCATCTAGTTGTGCCTGGAACTATAGTTGACTCACAAGGGTATTTCCAATATTCATAGGAAATTGCTGAGAAAACGCCGAAACCTGTGCATCTCCCATATTTAAAGATGGGACGTGGTCAGGCCCTCTGACCCCTGACTCCTGGGGATCTGCAGGAGGGGCCTTGTCTCCCTTGCCTAGCAGACGCCATCTTTCCCAAATCTTAGACATCTCCTGCTGTCTTGGGCAGGGTCAGCCTTGAGGAGGCCACTCCTGTCAGCCATCCGTGAGCCATCCCAGTGCCCTCTGCTCTGCCATCCATGGGCCTCTCTTATGCCCCTATTGTCAGCTTTCCCTCAGGGAGGCAGGTTCGGATTTGCCTGCTGCCTGGCAGTGGGGGCCCCACCATGCCTTTCTCCAAAGCAGCTCTCTCTTCTCTCTGCGGCAGGATTCAAGGGCGAGAAGGACCACTGGCGGAGCCGGCGCACCATCTGCGTGAAGACCCACGAGAGTGGCAGGAGGGAGATCGAGATGTTCGACTCGGCCATCCTGCTGATTCGGAACCCCTACAGGTCCCTGGTGGCTGAATTCAACAGGAAGTGTGCCGGGCACCTGGGCTATGCAGCTGACCGCAACTGGAAGAGCAAAGGTACAGAAGTAGCTGGGGGTGGGTGCTCACTGCAGCTTTATTCAGAGTCAGCCTGCTGACACATACTTACCGAAGTCCTACTGTGTGCACTGGGCAAGGCTCCGGGGCCCAAGGAAAGGGGTCATGTCTCTGCCCTCAGGGTACTCACAGTCAGCCTCTAGGCAATGAATTACAGAGGTGTAGGTCAGGGTGGCGAGTGATATAAAATTGAGCCATCAGAAAGAAAGCTGTGCTCAGCAGGGTGGCTGGCATGATGAGATATAGGGCCATAGGACAGGCAGTGCCCCTGTGTGACTCTGGATTAGCGGAGGCTGACCTTGTCCTCCCCTTCCCCTGTCGTCCTTCCCCCGGACCAGCCCCCCCGCCTTCCCTATCCCCCTTGCTGACTCCCCTTTAGGATGGAGGCCAGCTAAGCTCTGATTGCTCCTGGGCCCCTTACCAGCCCAGTGCCCCCGGGCAAATGGCATCCCTATGAGCCTCAGGTCCCTCATCTGACAGACAGGGCGGTCCCCATCTCATAGGGTTGTGCTGGAGATGAGAGAAAGCAAATGCCTTACCACAGCTCAATTTTGGAAACTATTTTCATTGGGGTGACTCTTAACATTTGCATACTTTGCTCCCAGCCCCCAACAAAACACCTAATTTCTTAATTTGCTGGAAGAGAAATCTCATGCAGTAGGTCATCTGCAGAAGTTGGCAGCTGCTCCATCCATGGCTTCATTGCATGCCCTCCCGCACCACTGTGCCACAGGTGAAACCAGCCTCATGCCTACCAGACTCAGTGGTGCTGGCCAGGCACTACCCTCACTCAGACACACAGCAGGGGCCGGGAAGGCAAGCCTGGCCTGTGCAGCATTTTCCTCTCACCAGGAGGCCCTGCAGCTGGTCCCACCACCCACATTAGATGTGCACGGTGGCCGGAGACAAATCAAGATGAACGAGGGTCATCTTGAAAGAGATGCCCTGCCTCAGTTTCCCACCTGTCTTTAACACTGCTGTGTCATGCACTGTGGGCCAGCCCAGGTCTCCCTGGCCAGGTACCATCCCTATGGTCAAGGAATCCATAGCACACGAGAGAGAACCAGTTCTTGGTACGTAAAGTTCACACTCTTTTTAACTTGATGTGTTTGCCAGGGGGCTGGCAGACCCCAGGTCACATCTTCCCAGCTTAGGACTCTTCAGAGCCCAGCCCGATGTCAACCCTGTTCACACTAAGTCACACAGAAGGTCCTTCCCAGCAGGACTTCGGGCAGGTTGGCCCTGGGCTGTGGTTGGTGGAAGATCCTGGCCACTTGCCTGGGCATCCGGAAGGGCCAGCAGCCCTCCCAGGCCGGGCCCTGACGAGGCTCCCTTCCTCTCCTCCCCAGAGTGGCCGGACTTCGTCAACAGCTACGCGTCATGGTGGTCCTCGCACGTGCTAGACTGGCTCAAGTACGGCAAGCGGCTGCTGGTGGTGCACTACGAGGAGCTGCGGCGCAGCCTGGTGCCCACGCTGCGGGAGATGGTGGCCTTCCTCAACGTGTCCGTGAGTGAGGAGCGGCTGCTCTGCGTGGAGAACAACAAGGAAGGCAGCTTCCGGCGGCACGGCCGGCGCCCTCATGACCCCGAGCCCTTCACCCCGGAGATGAAGGACTTGATCAATGGCTACATTCAGACAGTGGACAAGGCCCTGCGTGACCACAACTGGGCTGGGCTGCCCAGGGAGTATGTGCCCAGATGATAGGCCCAGCCGCTCTGCCTGCCCCGCTGAGAGCCAGCCACCCCTGGGGCTGCACCCACTCAGGTGCTCAGGTGGTGGCCTCGCTGGGACACAAGGCTGCTTGTGCTGCTGGCAGGGAGGCTCACCCAGTGCTGCCTCCCTCACGTGCAGGGACACCAGACACAGGCCCTTAGCCCACTCAGGCAGACACGGTGTCACAGAACAGACACTCACACCTAGCCAGTCACGCTTAGACGCACCACTCCATGCTTGCAATGCCCATTTTGACAAGCCCAAGACACCATGCAGGGTGTGCCAGATGCTCCCAGACTTGCAAACACAATCACACATACACGCCAGGTTATGTGTTCCCAGAGGCTGTCAGTCTGTCCCTCTCTCACACTTAGAGACACATGTTTTCCAGGGCTCTTGGAGACCCCCGGTTTCCTATCTCCAGCCCCAGGCATGGACTTGCTGGTCAGGGCTCTTGACTGTGGGGTGCTGGGCTGGGCGGGCATCCATGCTGTGAACAGCAAGGACTGGGGCATGGAGGTGGGCTCACGCACTGTTGCTGCTGAGCCACGCAGCCCTGACACCCTATAAACGTGTGGTGTGACAACTGGGCACCACGAACTCTGCAGTCCTGCCTCCCTCTTCTCTGTGGGTGGGCAGTGGCACCATGGGCAGAGTGGAGCACCCCTCACACACACAGCAACCTCAGGACACATGGCAGGTTCTGTGCACCCCCTGCTACCCCTTTCAGCATGAGTGCTCCTTGGAGTGGGACCTGTTTGCCGGGCTTCTTTCTACAGCTGTCCCCAGGAAAGCTGGGCATTCACCCAATGCCTCAGACACAAAGTGTGAGGGTGAGGGGATGGTGGGGCAGAGAGGGGGCTGGGCCTCAGGGGAGTCCTAGACCCAAGGGCCTATATGCCATCAGGTGGGGGCTTGGGGTGGACTAGGAGAATCCCAGGAAGGTCAGGTCTTGGGGATCGCTGTGACGGACTGCCCTACCCATCTTGATAGGCCCCTGCTTTCTGTGGGTCCTGCCCTTGGGTCATGAGGAAGGGGAACTGCATGGTCGATCAACAACATAACACGTGGCCCCAGTGGCCATGGCTACAGCTTCTGCTTGACCTCCAGTGGCTGTGGCCAAGCCTTCTCTGTCCCTATGTCAACTCACCCCACCACTTCCCGTCACCGGTCTCTGCCATACCACTTGTCTCTATTTCTGCTACACTGTCATCCTCCCCTCCTTGTTCATCCATTCCCTCAACAAAAGGGGGAGGACACCCAAAGCTGCTGAGACCTGCTGTGTGCTGGCCTCTGGGAGAAGGAGAAGACTATATGAAAGGCACCCTTTTTGCACCCACAGCTCATTCTGGTAGGGCCAGGGGAGGGGCCATGACAAACGGAGCAAGAAGCCCAGTAACGGAAGAGCATGTGTGTGTGCAGGCTCCCAGTGGTCAGCTGTGTGCCTGGGTCTTCGGGGAGTGTACCTCAGTGACTTTGCCCTGGTCTCGAGAAATCAGTAGGAATCCCAGCAGAGTGGAGGGCAAGGATAATTAAGGCAAAGAGAACAGCATGTGCAAAGGCTCAAAAGCTTGGAAAACCTGGTGTGTTTTGCAGAAGAGGTAAAAGGGACATGGGCTGGGTGTATCTCTCCAAGTCTACTGCAGGATGAGGGGAGTGGGTGGGTAAGGACAAAGGTGGGACCTAAAAAAGAACTCTGTCCTTATACAGTCACTTAGTGTTCAGCCTAATAGGGGCAGAGGTGCTGATGCTAATTACCTTCCTGGGTCACCCTTCCCTATATATCCTGGGCTCAGGAATGAGGCTGTGAAGGGCAGGGGGCTCAGGTCTAGAGATTGGAATGGACCCAGGAGCAATGCCTAGGACAGTAAGATGTAGGAGAGTTGTAGAGAGCCTAACTGCACACTGACCCCTGCGGTGGGTGGGGGGAGAGAAGGGGGGAGGGCCTGAGCTTGGGCAACCCCCAAGCCCTTCTACAGCTTGTCCAGGCATGGACTAACCCCAGCTGGGCCCTTCATCTGATGTCTCCTCAGCCCAAGCCAATCTGCATCACAAGGAGAAAATGGGGCGAGAGGTTTGAGAAAGCTGGACATGGGGAAGCCCTGACCCTCTGCTCCCTGGCTGGTGGTAGGGAGCTGAGAGCTACCCCTAGTGAAGGCAGGCAGGGCTGCAGGGCCCAGCAGAGCCACCCGTCCTCAGGGGGATGCCTCTCCAGCCTTTGGTTTTGCCAATGAGTGGGCTCAAGCATCTGCTCCTGGTGGCCTCCAAGTTCTTCCTGAGGTTCCATCAAACACACACTGATGCTGAGGCTGTTCTAGACCCTCCCCAAAGCATCATCTGGCTCAGCTCAAAATTGGAAACACCGAGCATAGCTCCATGGTCAAGTCTGCAACTGCCTGATGAGGCTGTGTCTCCTGAGTTCTAGGAGCACTTGAGACCCACCATGGGTTCCCATACTGCCCTGGACACCTGCACCCCAGAGCAAGCCCAGAGTCTCAGAGGAGACACAGTTTCAACTCATAGAAGAAAAGCTGGCAACCTCCTAAGACTGGCTCCATGGCTGTGGCCCTCACTCCCTAGCCACCCGCCCAGATGATCTTCAAGTAGAAGACTCAGAAGCCATCGGGCTGGAGAAGGCAGAGGTTTGGCTAGACAGATGGCCTAGACCACAGCCCAGGCACAGTCCCCTGGGCTCCACCCTTCCCCACCGCATAAGACAGGAGAGCAACAGCACACAGCCCATGCCTCCTGGTAGATGGATGGGTACATCTCCAGCATCCAGGTACTCAGGGACCTCTCCTTCCAGGTAGAGTGTCACCTGCCCCAATGACCCTGTAATTTACTTGCACCTTAGCCAGGCATGCAGATGAGTAGAATAATGGGGTCAGAGTGCATCCAGGTTGCACTGAGTCACTCTGCGTGGTGAGGGACCTGACATTTGGCAGGTGCTTCTGGATACTAAGCGAAGGGGTGAGTGAAGTACAAAGGACCTACCTGCTGCTGCTGGTTCTCAGCAGCCATAGCCCTGGGCCTGCTTCTGTGGGAGAACATCAGGGTAAGAAGATCCACCTTTCCTTTGCTTGTGTCTAAGTTAGGTCTTGTCTATAGTGCACAGCTTCTCCATAAAGAGAATACTGTTCCAACCAGCCAAGGAATAAAAGGGGATCCGTATCTAGGGGAGAAATGTGGTAAATGCATCAGGAGCCTATGAACAGTGAAATTCTGACTGTCTACAGATTCCATCTTTAATAGCAAGACTGGAGTGACACAAGCCTGTGTTAAAACATAATTTTCATGGATTTCATCTCCTGTTGTGGATCAATTTGGAAAGCCCAAAATGTATAATTTTAAGAAGCTAAAACACATTCTGATAATCCCAGTGATGTGGAAATGAGAGAGAAGAATAGACAAGCTTTCAAACCCTGGGAAGAAAGCTGCTTAATTATGTGAGCATCTTGTAATGAAGTCTTTTGCAGCTAAAATTAGATTTTGAGTGCATGAATATGCAATAATGTTTGCACACCAGAATGCATTTTTCCCCTTAAAAGTAGCAGGAGCTACTGGTACTTAGGGGGCCCCCAGAGGGGAGATGAAAGTGCTGGGGTTGAGCTTTGTGGCTGCAAAAATCCTTGGAGCATAGGTCTGTTTTCTTCTGACTAGAAACTCGGAGGTGTTTGAGATGTGATGCCTCCAGTTCGTTCAGATTTAGGGAGAAATGGATTGGTCTGAGCCCACAATGATCACCACTCAGGAGTGGGCAAGTTGGCCTAACAAGTAGAAGTAGAGCAGAAATAATACATGGTCTGCTCATAGAAGGGCAAGGTTGTAGTCTCAGCCCTGCTCTACTGTGATCTTGGTCTCAGTTTTCCATCCACAAAACAAGGGATGTGATGGATGTTGTTGGCTGCATCCCCAGTGTTCATTCCCCCATTTCCTTTCCCAGCAGCCCCTGATTTCTGTCTGAGGATTTCATGATCGGGCTGCACTGACTCTGTCATCACTTCCAGGGGTGCATGCATGACCTAAACTAAGTCAACAGCACATTCCAGCTCCCTGGCTACAGTGATTGGTTCAGTATGGCCATGTGAGCTAAGGCAATGCAGACAGAGGGAATTTCAAGACTTTTTCTGGGAGTGTTGAATAGAGAATCTTTTTATCCACCCTGCTGGATGTGAAAGAGAAAGTAGGTAAACTTGGATCTTGATGGTGATCATCTTGGGCCCATGAAAAAGAATCACTTTTGCCCTGACAGGTTTGGGTCAGTTGGTTGGGCATCATCCCACAAAACAAAAGGTTGCCAGTTCAATTCCTAGTCAGGGAACATGCCTGGGCTGAGGGTTCATTCCCCAGTTGGAGGGCATCTAAGAAGCAACCAATCAATATTTCTCTCTCGTGTTAATGTTTCTCTCCCTCTCTTTCTCCCTTCCTTCCCCTCTCTCTAAAAATAAATAAATAAAATATTTTAATAAAAGAAAAGAACCACTCTCAGCCTGAAGCTGACATTATTGAAGGGAGAATCAAGAGGCATCAAGAAGCCAGGTCCTTGGCGAGGTCATTTAAGTACAGCATCAAGCTTTGCATGGGATTGGCCCCACCTGTGGACAGTTTTCTTTCATGAGCCAATAAAGCCCCTCTCTTGTTTAAGTTAAGTTGAGTTTTTGTTACTTACAGCCCAGAACAGTGTCCAAAGGGCTTGAATTGAAAGGCCCTGAGGTCCTGACATTCTCCATATCTGGCTGATGTAGATAAAGACCAAAATTCAAATCAGTATGAGCTAAGAAAATTAAAAAGTTGCTTTTCACAGGAATGGGGCTGGGTGTGAAATGCTCACTAGGTGGCTGTGCTTTTCAGCCAGGACAAGAAACATTGTCAAGTCAGTACACCGTGAAGTCACCTATATATCCTTAGAAAATCATTCCTCTTGATTATCCAGCCCAAACCATCAATTGTCTCATTTAATCCTTAACCAATACTTTGTTATTATCCCCACTTTGCAGACGAGAGGACTATCTCATCTTAAATGATTGTAAAAGTATGGCCTTGTTGCATTTACCACAACTCTTCATGAAGAATATGATGTGGTCTGGGATGGAATGCTTTGCTAAGCTATTTGGATTGAAGGTGACACATCATTCAAGGGATGATTTTGAGTAACAGCTGATGAGCAGTAAACTGCCTTCTAAGGAGGGTAGGTATGGTTAGTCATACAGCTTTGGTTTTGCTGTGTGGGACATGCAAGCTTGGGGCAGAGCAGAACCGCTGCCATTGGAGGAGAGGTGGAGTGATGAAACTGAGAGTTACCCTCTTCTGTCCTCCCCTCTTTAACCCTGCTGTGTGATAGAAATTAGAGGGATGGGTGGAGTTATGGCCCCTATATTCAAACTCTCCTTGTGATGTCTGACTCAAACACAGTGTGCCAGAATAGAGGTCTATGAAATTAGTAGAGAAAGCCAACTACCCAGGAAATCACTGTGAGTACATTATTCCCCAGTGCTCCCTTTTGTGATGGAAGATAGATTTGGACCCCTCCTCAGAGCTCTTACATGCAAAAACATTGCAGAAGTCTGGTCCTGTGCCCTAGGAAATATGAGCAGTTCCATCCTAAGTAATAAGCACAATTGCTTATATAAAATAAGGAGTCTTGATGGCAACAAAAATAAAAACAATTTTAGTTGGTGCTGTAAGCATAAGCATGAGCTAAATGAATTAACTTTCCAAGGTGCCTTCAGTACTTGAGACTTTTTTTAGATTCAGACATCAGCAGTGACAGATACGTGGCTTCATGGTGTGGCCAACGATGACTCATAACAGCAAACAGTGTTCTTACAAGTTATGAAGTCTGACAAACTTCCACGTGTGCATCAGTGAAGTAAACATTATCATTTGCATGGGCGGGGGGGACAGATACAGTTTCTGAGACTGTTACCCAAAGTTCAGATCCGTTATTGTGCAGATGAGAACAATGAGACTCAAAATGGGAAAGGGTCTCCTCCGAGGTCATGCTGCAAGGGTGAGCGGTGGAGATGGGGCTGGAGAGGGGCCTCTTCCATGAAACCACCTGATAACCATAGTACTGCATTCCTGTAACTCCTCAAGAAATTGCTGGAAATGAGGCAAGTGTGCCATTAAGCTCATTTGGAAGCGACCCCATTAATTCCACTGCAAATACTTTGCATGGGCACCTGAATTCAATTTTAAGGACCATTTATCAAGCATCCCCAGTACTTAAAAACTTGCTCAGATGGTGCAGGCTTTTCCACAGGAGTGCAGTCAGAGAGATGGACCATAACTTGCCCTAAGAAAGGAGCCTAGGGTTTACATCCTGAGTCACAAACATCCCAGGCAGCAGGAAAGTCCTGATCCCAAACGCTATTAATACAAAAGCATCTTTGGTTGTCCTGAGCCCAGCAGTGTGCATGCATTTGTGAGTACATGTGTGTGCAGGCATGAGCTCCAGCTGCTGACAGACAACTGCCCCTATGAATCTCATGCCAGCCTACCTGAGCATTACAAGTGACAAGAGCCTGGTCACCTGACTTTGGCATCAAGTACCTAGATAACTCTTCCTCCCGCAGGCAGAGCTACCACATCCAGATGACACAGCAGTCCAGTCCCACTTTGGAAGGCAGGGCACACACTTAGCATGTCTGGGAGAATGCCTGGGACTGCGGAGCAGTGGCACCAGGCACAGACACTTCCCTCTCCGTGCAGCCTCCAATCATCTGCTTTGTACCATCAGACATGCCAGAGGCTGAGATCACAACTCACCAGAATCACCTGGGTTAGTTTTCTAGTGCTGCATAACAAATTACCACAAACTGAGCAACTAAAAACAATGCATATTTCACCTCACAGCTTCTGTAGGTGAGGAGTCTGGGCACAGTGTAGATGGATCATCTGCTTCAGGATCTCACTGGGCTGCAATCGAGGTGTTAGCCAGGCTGTGACTCCTCTGGAGGTTTGAGTGGGGAAGTGTCCAGGTCCAGCTCACGCAGATTGTTGGAAGAGTTAAGTCACTTGCAGTTATAGGACTGAGGTTCTCAGTTTCGCCAGCCTGCCCACAGTTCTTCATAACTAGGCCTCTCCTATGTAGTTCAAACACGGCTGTGGGCTTTTTCAAGGCTGGCTGCAGAGTAAGGCAGAGTCTTGTGTGCATTACAAATCACAGGAATGCTGTCTCCTCACCTTTGCTGTAGCCTGGATAGAAGCAAGTCACAGACCCTGCCCACACTCAAGGGTAGGAGATTACACAAGGTTATGAACACCGGGAACTGGGGACCACTGGGGACCCTCTTTGGGTCTGTCCATCACAACACCAACATGGAACAAGTCCAGAAATTAGTGCATCCCTTATGGTCTGTAGAGCAACACTGAGCGCTGGATTGTGTTGAATATAGTAGATGTTTTAAAGAATCATCCAGGAGGATTAGGTCTAATGTCCCCAATCCACTGCCTTGACATTAACAGACCCATTAGGAATATCCCAATGCATGTTGGCCACCTCTATATTCTCTTCTTATTTATCTTGCTCAGCATATTGTAGGTCTTTCAACATCTGGACTTCTTCCTTTAATTTTAGGACATTAACTATTATTGATTTGAATAATGCCATCTCTTTCCCTCTCTAATCCCTCATTCTGGCATTCCTCCACATTGACCCTAGGACTACAAAATCTAGTTTCCACGTCTCAGCCCTTTTTACATATTTTCTGTCTCTCAATCCCACTGTGCTGGGTTCTTGGCGAATTCTTCACTTTGATAGTCAAAAACAATAATTTGCTTGTTACCATGTTCATTCTTCTATTCAATGAACCTGTTGATTTCTAAATATAATTATGTTTTTTTATTCCCAAGACCTCTAGGTGATTAAAACTTGTTTCATGGATGATGCCCCTTCATATCTGAAGATATTAAATACACATATGTAAATGTTCTCTACTTATTATTCTATTACTTCTGTGTCCTTGGGTGTGAGTTTTTCCATTTGTTGATTTTTATGTCTTTTCCATGGTTTGCGTTTTCATCAAAAGTTTAACAGTTGTGTGTTCGTAAGAGGGGAGAACTGTGCAAGGACCAGCCATCCTGGCTGTCCCAGGTTTGATGCCTCTACCCATGGCCATGTGAGCTCCCCCAGACTACCTCCTGCCCTCCAACTGCAGCTCTTGGTGGGAGCACCCAGCTTTCTGAGGCACAGCTCCCAGCAATGTCCTGGCTGCCCATTTCCTCATCTCTCCTTTTTCTGTCTCTCAGAGTTTGTTCGGTTTAGGATCCACTCTGGTTCTTGTTTTCAGGCACAGCTAAGTTATCATACACATTTGATCCAAGGAGGAAAACACAGAGCTAGTGCTTGCTTGTGAAAACAAGATCTGGAAACCAGATCCTTGATCGTGAAAACAAGATCTGTCTTTGATCCCTTCAGGTGACCTGAAAGCATCACAAAAACTACTGGCTTAGAGTGAGAGACCTGAATTTTATTCTAGAAGCAGTTTGCTCACTGTGTGACTTTGGACAAGTGCCTTCCTCTCTCTGAATATCAATGTCCTCATTAAAATAATGAGAACTTTGAGATAGAAATCGTTGAAGGCCTCATCCAGTTTTGGCATTCTAAAATTGTTTATCTCATCTACCTGATCTGGTAAAAAGGAACAATCTCTGTCCCTGCTCAAAGTGTAGACCTCACTGACATACTATGATAGACCAAACTTCATGTGGGACGTGCAGACCTCACCGATACACTGTGATAGACCAAACTTCACATGGGAAGCCAGTCTTTTTCCAGGCGCCCCCCCCCAATAAAATACCCTTATGATCATTTTTGTTCATTCCTTCCATTCTTTATTTTTTAAATTTTGATAAACAACTCACCAACATTTTTCACTAACTTGAAAACTGCATTCATATATTTCCTTCTCTAGATTTTAAAGCATTGGAGGCAGGGACAGTATTGTAGTTTATATCTCTCTGTAAACTCCACCTCAAGCATGGGGCAGGTGAGCCAGAGGCACAGGGAGTATTAGTGAACCTGAAGGAAGGATGCATGAAAATCCTAAATCACCTGGTTTTGCAAGTTTTTCAGGAAAGTAAAATACCTTCCTCAAATACACTATCTTGCTTTTCTTCTGAGTTGAGAGGATGTTGTTGAATTTTTCCATCAGCTGCCTATTGAGAAGCTTGGGAACTGAGTTCACTATAATTGCTTAGTGATACAGGTTAAAAAAACAGGTGAAGAAATATGGCAACTCCCAAAGCCCCCTGGAGAGTTGTTTTGAACTACGATACCAGTTCCTGTCAACCGTCTGTTCCTGACTCTTGGAGAAGAACAGGATAAAAATCAGCAGCATTTTCCTCAGGGGCCCTGTTCAGGAAGGTAGGCTAATGGTGTGAGCTTCACCTGGCTCCACGTGGGAGCCTCCGTTGCAGGTGGGCTCCCTTCTAGTTTGCCTTGGGGTAGGTGGGCTTCTCTGCCTCCTCAGTTCTGC